TTCAACAATTCATTATATTTGAAATTTTGGGAATGCATCACACAGAACCGATTAAACACAGAATTTGTTAAATATCACCCTTCCCTTGCCCTCTATCCCCAGCATGCTCGCTTAGAGTAGTACAGGCAGAGAAGACATAACTATTAGGAGGAATCCTTAACACTTTTTTAAAGTAGAATTCTGGCTAGTTCAAAAGGGTTCCTTCTTTTAAGGGGTTTAGGAAACTAGACACTGCAACTTTACTAGTATTGGTGACATTTGGAGCAAATTCAGCTCCAGGAGCTGCATGGTTGAAAGTAGGAAGGGTTCCACCAATTGTCCCAATTCCTTCCATGGTAGCAGCCAGGGCAAAGCATTCACTTGTTGGTGGTGTCAATACCAAAGTTCCATTGGGCATCATAGTGGCAGATTCTGGAGGATCCTGGTACCAGCTGGCATGCAGCAGGGGACATGGTGCCTGTTTATGCCCATAGCACCTCCCATAGGCATCTGGCCCATCCACATCCCTTGTTCCCGTGTACGACAGAAGGTTCCCTTGAATCCTTCTTGCTGTCACCGCATCATCTCTTCTTGTTGCCACATTTCCTGCCTGAGCTCCAGTTGCTTTTGTTTTTGGACCTCTTGGTTATGCAGCACTTGCATTCTCTGAAGTTCTTGGCATCTCGTCAAATCCTGCCTCATCAGTACAATCTGGTGCTCGTGGCAAGCAGCCTCCATCTCCATCTCCAGCTTTTCATGGGCTTCCTAATGATGACGTCCACTTGATCCTGCTGCTGCTTCTCCATCTCAGTAAGGACCTTCCAGCTCATGGCATATTCATATTCAAAGGAGCTAGGCTGTGCAAGTTGAGGTGACTACTCTCACTCCTTGTGAAATTGCTGGTACTTTATAATGAGCTTTTCTGGAAGTCCTTCATCATCTAACTGGTCCATAGGTTCCACAGTCACAGGCCGAGGAAATGTGCTTCACATTTCCGTGTGGCTGGCTTCACTGAGAACTCAACAATGCCTTTTCCTGAGGGTTTCCTCGATCAGCCACAATAACTACAGCCCTTTCCACCTGGCCAAACACAGAAAATGCTTTTTCCAGTACTATATTAGACATGTACTAAAGAAGGTTTCAGACTGTAAAGGATGCAGTATGGCAGGCAGAGCACAGGCGCAGTTGTTTTCCATGGAGAGGCATATTATCCAGCTCCATTTTGGCAACCTGTGCAAGCGTTTGTGTTTCCAAGTGGAAAAAGCCATTATCCTTATGAATGAAAACTTCTCCTGCTTTCCCATATTTTTCAAATGGTTTCTTCATTTCCTTCTAAGTGATATGAAGAGGAAGATTGTCCACAAAGAGATGGCTACATTAAGTGAATGTCTTCTCTCCTGGTTTCCTAAAATTCTTCAAGTCAATAGTCAAACCTTTATTTTGGCTACTGGCCTATTATCTATTTGCAGGTATTGGTGGTGGTGGCTGCTCTGCTGCTGCTGCTG